TGTAAGAATATCAAAGCTCCAAAAGATATACCACATGAAAATGTATACATGATGTGCCCCAGCTCAGTGACATGTTGTGAGTAATACTAATTCCGATTTTTTCCTAAAATATGTCTAGCTGAATAAACTTGAGTCAGAGCTTATATTCATCCTGCTTGTTGTACTATAAAGTTATCAGCAATACTTTTGTAGTATTTTTGGAGCAATGCAAGTATGTGTAAACATCTTCATGTAAAAGATAAAAGACTGAATTTTTCAGTCTTGTATAAAAAACTAGATATACAATTTGGGAATATAGAAGTCAAGAAATTAAAAGCCAATAAGTATGATACAGAGATGAATTGGATCAACTAACCCAAACAACTCTACATTATTATATAATTCAATACAGGATTGCTGGAATTAATAATTTATCAAGTGGCTATAAATCAATATTTTTATATTAACAATTGATCACTATGTGTAATGTTAAAATGTCTACAGTTTCCCTCAGCTCTTAGAAGTTTTTCAGTGCCTTTGGTCTTCTATTCTTTTGGATTTACAGCCTGTAACTGTGATGTTGTGGATCACTCTCACTGCTTGCATCAGCATCGTTTTCCGTCACAGCAGGCAGCTATTTTCAGGAAAAAAGCCCCCAAACCCACTTTCAGCAAACGACAGACACACACAGTCGGTGACTAGCTGGTGAACATGGTCAAGCATTTAGCAGCTAAGCAGCCAGATATTTCATTCAGGAGTTGGTTGATACTGTCCCATTAGAGTACAGGGTAAAAGGGAAGACCCAAATGCAGGACAACCAGGTAGGCAGGACTAGCTCCGTTACTTTACTTGAGTAGATGGTGATAGTAAAAACTTACAGGCAGGCGGGTAGGGTAGGGTTAGTGTGGTAGCAGGTACAGCAACAAAACAGACACAGGTGGCAAGAACAAATATCTTCAGCATGAAAATCAACACACAAGCTGACAGAGGAGCAGGTGGAACAGGCAGGTTTTAAATAGTGGCTGCGATAATGAGAAAAGTGGAAACAGGTGTGTAGGTGGGCGGGAAAGATTACTGGGTTTCTGCATGGCAGGTTAATGTGGGAGTCAAGAATCAGGGACAGGTGGGAAAGACTGAGGGCATCTGGTGGGTGGATGGAGAATGGCAGCAGACAGAATGGCCAGAATAAACAGACAAACATGAATCGTGACAGGAGACCAAAAACAGAGTTAAAAGGAAAGTGAATATTAGACTTACATATGTAAAGAGGCAGCTGTTTGCAAACAACTTTGCAGCTTCAAATGTGATTATATGTCATTGTTGTATTTTCAGCTTGTTTCTGCAAGTGGCTAAACTGTGATAACATGGTGCTAGTGTTGTTTGGACTGCATTAAATTGATCTTATTTTGTCTATTGCACACAACAGGATGTTGATTTGACACCAAAGTTAGCTAAAACATTAACCTTTAATTATTTACAAAGGTATCACCAAAGAAAAAAAAAACAAAAAACAAATATAGCCGCTAGCAGCAATTATCAAAGTCCAAGCAGCTTGCAAGCATTTAAATACCATATGAATTAATTGCTATTGGATTTGTGATGAAGCAGGACTGAAGCACTCACCTATCAGACAATCAGTGTAATTTTAATGTTGGTGTAAAAGTGCTGAAAAAAATCATTCTGCTGGTTTCAGGAGAATCATCAAATAATTTGGTGACTTTGACTTTGTAAAAAAGAAAATGTTGTGCATAGAGTAAATATTATAGCAAGATTATAGCAATTAATATCACTGAGGACTCACTGTTTGTCTGATCCAAACACCATTTGAAACACTTGATATCTACCATCTTGAAAATCTCTGTTTGAATTTTGGTGAGATTTGAATGAAGACTAGCACTTACCCCATAATTTTATTATTGCTTCCCTACATGTCACCATGTTGACTGGATTTATTCAATTAACTATACCTTGCAGCACAGTTAGACAATATTTAGGTTCTAAAGAACTTAATAACTGCTTGTTATCTATGACAAACCAGATCTTACCTTGTGAAAAAACTGGAGGAGGGCACTACAGCCTTCAGCAGGACATCCAGTAAGCCTGGACATGTTTGCTGTTTGTGATTGAGGTGCAAGATGATTAAAACCAATGACTTCCCATTGGGTACAATCCATCAATTTTCTTTCTACTTCTCTTATTCTATTAAGGTTAGATTTTCTCAATCAAAATTAGTGGAATGAAGATATGTTGAGTTCAACTTAAAGAAATTACTTACAGGCATTCTTATTGAGTCAATGTTGCTATCATTTATTTACTAAGTGTTATTTCACTGCAATCTAAGTTTTTACAGTGTATTTGGTGGAGGCTTATATATGGGATGTCTTAAAGTTGGTGTTCATCACCATGCCCCACCCAGTAACCAGATCTTGTTTTTACCTGGTTAGTTATGTGAACAACTTCCTTAACTATTGTTCATATTTTATTATTTTTATTTTTTTACAGCATTGTTTTTTTGGGCTCAAAATCCTAAGGACGGCTGTGTGAAGGAAAATGTTCTGACGTATGTTGTTAACTCTGATCTTCAAAGCTACCTGAAGCCCTTTTGAACAACAGACTGAAAGAAAAGGCACATATATGTGAATTAATCTAAAACACATCAAAGTGAATCAGATTAACCTACAATCCACACTACACAGCACATGATTAATTTGTGCTTTTGAGATAAACACCTTATAGAGTTTACCTGTGGAGAAAACATCTGACAGCTGCTCATTCCGGAACAAACTAACACTAAATCTGTTGAAATGATCAATGGTAGTGGAGGCCATGGTGTTTGATTGCAAAGAGTCTTTTTATTTTTCCTTGTGTTCAAGTACGGTCCTCTCTCAGCACAGTCATCTAAGAAGCATGGACACACAATTACACACAACTCGCACCAGAGCCTGAGCATCCTCAGGTGGGATTTGTTTTTTGTCTTGATTGAAGGGGTGGGGGGTGGGGAGTGGGAGTTCAGCAGTTTCCACGTTTAGGTCAAGTGAACAAGAGTCCTGTTGTACACCACATAATCATTTTTTTCTCTGCGAACATTTGTTGCATTTAGTGACAATGACATCTGCACATAAAAATTATATATATATATATTTAAATTTATATTTATATTCATATATTTATAGCTTTGTCATTCTATATCAACAATTCATTCTAGTGATTTTTACCTTGGTTTTTCATGTTGTAAAACTGGACAAACTGTCAGTAGGAATGCCTTGTTTGGACATTGATTTATACAGGAACGCACACGTACATACACGCAACAGAGGCATACGCACACTACTACACACATGCATGCATAGATACGCTCGCTCAAGTTTACGTGTACACACACAGGCCACACATTCGATCACATACGTGCACACGTACAGAAACACACACACACTCATGTCCACACACACACACACACACCAACACATGCTCAGCCAACACAGAGAGGCAGGTCTGTACATCTATGGGAGGGAGGTGATCCCCACGATCCCCAGCAATAAGTATGTTTTCACCTGATCAAAACACAAGAAAATAAAAGTTACAAACAGCAGAGGAAGTCATCCAGTCATTGTCTGTAAACTTCGACAGAATGTCCCTTTAAATTCCTCTAGGACTGGTCGAAGAGGTGTCAAAGTTTGGCACAATGTCACATCTCTCGCTTTATCTTTATCTTTACTGTACATGGAGATGTACAGTATTCACGGTAGCTCTTGCTGGACGGACCAGTTTTTATACTCAATTGATGATGAGAAACCACTGAAAGTTGACATGGTCAAACATATTAGCTCCCCAAAAGGAAAAGACAACCTTTTCCAAAGTGCTTTAAACATACACATATTTTCTTTAGGCAGTGAAAAAGCACTTTTCAGCCTTGAGCTGCTTTTGACGTTTGGGCATGTCCACAACAAAATTAACTTGATAGAGAGAAGGCCTCCTCTCGTGCTTGGAAAAGGGCAAAAACAAAGGTATCCACTGACATCCATCCTGATGATGTCTGTCTTTTATGCTTCTTGTGTTTGCATTTCACTTATTTTTGTTGCTTTTTGTTGTTTCAGTCAATAATCAGTCATGGGAAAAAAAATCATATTTTCATAAGTGGCCCCATCAAAAACGTGTAATATACACACTATATCACCTTTGAATTTTATACAGGAAATAAAAATGCTTTTTTGAAAGTGAAAATTTAGAAAAGTACAAATAAAAAAAGATGTGAAAGAATGACGACAAAAAAGAAGTCTCTTGAAGATGACATTCCTTGAAAGAATATTCAAAAGCCTCTGTAGGCAGCAAGGCCATCGCAACAAAAAAAGGTGGATAAAAGCAGTGCTACGTTTGTCACTTGGGTGAAAAGGTAAACATCCACTTCTTGTCTTGTGCCTGATGTGCTTTCATCTTTCTCTGTGCTTTTATTCTTCCTAACCTCCTCAAAAACCTTCATCGCATCGTTGTCCCTCTTCTCTGCCTCTCTGTATCTTTAACAAAAGCTCAGGCCACTTCCTGTTTTATAGAGTCATCCAATTCCCATTATTTCTTGATCTCATCTCTCACCTTTCTCTCCAGGCCTCTGTGTACTCTCTGCCTGGACATTTTTCTCTGTTTCTATATTCCCCTGCCCACTCCTCTCACACACTTCCAAAAACACTTGTTCAAATCTAATCCCACTTGCTCCTTATCCAGTCACTATTGCAATTAAGCTGACCTTGAGGAAATAAAGTGGTCTTTAAAAATAAAAAAATAAAAAAAAAAAGAAGGAAAATGTTGGCATGCACATGCACAGTCTCTCTTAGTCACTCGACCTGGCTTCCCTTCTTAACCCCAATCAGACTTAATCTTATTTTAGAGAACAATTATTTCCTGCCATAGGCTACAAGATACCTGTCCAACATGCCACTTGCTGTCACTTTGTGTTCATCTGCTGCTGATTGTTTGCAAAAATAATCCCCTTCACACGCATACTCTCTTGCCCCCCATCATCATAGTAACTAGACCCAGGAGTCCGGGGAAGCCGGATAATGGCTGGTCTCATAGTTCAGTTCGCTGTATGGCCGAGAAGCTGAGTAGAAGTCTACATAGTTGCCAGTGGATTTGAGGCCCAGGTGCATGCGCAGGTCTTCCCGCGGGTCACGGGGTGGTCCAGTGGAGCTTTGAGGCTGCTGAGGTTGGGCCTGAGACTGGGCCTGCACCTGTACCTGCGGCTGTGGCTGGGATGGGGGAGGTGGAGGTCCCTGGTCCTCGTAATAGGCCTCTTCAAAGCTTCGGCTCTGGCTGTGAGGTGGAGGCTGCGGTGGCTGAGGCTGGGGGAAGGAAGGAGGGGGAGGATAGGGGTCGTAGTCTTTTAGCACAGCTGCTGATGGGCTGTCCTGCTGAGGCTGGGGGGACATGACGCAGGGCTGGGCTGGAGCCTAGTGAGGGAGCAGCGGTAGTGAAGAGTGGGAGGTGAGGGAGAGAGATGGGGAGGTGGGAGTGAGGTACAACAACCAAGAATGTCATAGAAATGTGGGTAGTGGGGGTAAAGTGAAAAGGGGGGAGATAGAGAAGAGCGGAAAGTGACAAGTAGAGTGAGAACATGGGGGAGAACAGTTTGAAAGGCAGGCATTATGGGTATAAAGGCTCAGATAGGAATCAGCTGGGAAGGCACTCAGTGAATGCAGTGAATTCTCTATTACATGCAGGTATAGAAGGGGTCAATTAATCTCTCACATTGTAACTCTCACAGGCTAGTTGTGTGTATGTGTGTGTAGCTGTGTGCATGGAAATGCAGTCATATGTGTAAAAGCCCTTTGCTTCTACATCTATTTCAGTTATTAAGTAGAATTTAAGGAACAGTGGGAAACCCAAAGTTTGTATCGATACAAGAGAGCTTACACAGTAATTATGTATTCAATACAGATGAAGTCATACCAAATTTTAAATTCTACTCTTGACAGTCAAAGGCTACGATGGTTTCTTTTGCTTTTTCCCTCTTCACCAGCAGTCATTAAACAGAAGCAAATTAACTCTCAACTGTGAGAATGATTTTAATTGTCAATTGGGTGTGGCTTCAGGACGCTGTGGTTTGACGCTGCCTTAGCTTAAGGCATCTCCATTGCACACACTACCATTGTGTATCTTATCACAGTGAGACACTTTTTGTGTGCATGTGTGTGCCTGTTCCATTCTGTTGCTATCTTTCTTATTAACCACCTTGTCATGACAGCATATGCCAATTTATGAAAGCCCTAAAGACGTGCACTGTTAAAACCTGCTGTGCCGTTGTGTTACTGTGTGCACATACAAAAGTGTGTTGGTGTAGTGCATTTGTAGAGTACTGTTAACTCACCTGATTTTGTTTGATATCATCACTGGCAGTCAGGTAAGAGTTTCGGAACAATGTGGATGTCCCACACGATACTTGAACTGGATGTATGAAAGATCAAAAGAAAAACAGAAAAACAACACCTTTAAGGGAATGTATGATAAAGATGACTAGTATCATTACTACTGCTTATAACAATAATTCAAAGTACAGCAAAACCATGGGAAACTCCACAGTTAGCTTAGTCTGAAATCAGCTAATTAGATTAAAAATCTTCCTGTAGGTTGTCTAAAAGCCTGGCAATTAGTCTGTCCCTTTTGATCTCATGAGAACACTGACAGAGAGGCAAAAAAGAACAGAGACAGAATGACAGAATAGAAGTGAGACCAAGAGAAAGAGAAAGAAACAAACAGAGAGAGGAGAGCTGGTTAGAAAGCTGAACAGAAAAATACTGGAAAGAAAGACTGGCAAAGATTGAGAAAAAAGTCTGAGTAAGAGAAGAAAAATAGTTTGAGGTCGAAAAAGAGACAGATAAGAGGAGAGAGCCAGAGGAGAAATAGGGAATGAAAATAGAAGAGAAAGAAAGATAAAGAGGGGGATAAAATGGAATCATTCAATTCGTCTCTGTCTATCCATCACACACACACCTGCCATGCCGTCTTTCCGGGATGTGTGCTCTCCTTTGTTGCTATGGAAACCAGCGTTGGTTGCTGTGGAATCGTAGTCCATCTTGCGTTCCTTCAGACTCATCATCTCTCTGGGGGAGGCTGGAGCGCTCGCTGCACATGCACACATGAATGCAAGGACGTGCGCGCACACACACACACACACACACACACACACACACACACACACACACACACACACACACACACACACACACAATTATAAGCATGCACAGGGTGAGGGCATATGCTGTTGGGCTGCTGGGTTTATTGCTCATTATTTTGTGTGTGTGTGTCTTGGTCTTTCAAGGTGCACAGTCATTATTCATCATTTAGCTTGTTAGCATTAAGAGTCACCTTCAGCATGTTAAAGGACGTCTGGGAATTCACACACACATATGCATACGTCACTTTTGGGGCACATCATTTGAATATCAAATTTCACATCTGGTACATGTTTCCTCAATTCAGACAATATATTCCTTTTTTCTTTATGTGTTTAAAGCGCATGTGAAATATCCAGTTCTGAAACCGGCAAACTACACATTAAAAGCTCGGCAGCAGTCAGCTCAACTATGCTTGTGGTGCCCTACACAACTGAACACTGAGCATTATACCATTGTACAAACAGGCCTTATTAGTTTTGTCTTGACAAAGATGCCTTATCTTGAACAGTGTCACAACTGGCCATGTAGCCCCACATCCTGTAAATGACAATGCTCTCAGCATACAGCAAAAACAAACATTGGGGTAGGCCAGTGTGATGCTGTATTTTCCAAGTTTCCATGCTATGTTAAAAATAACTGTGATGGTAATTGGTGTCAAAAGATTGAACTTCTTAACAGATGTTTAAGTTCACAACCAGCTACAACCAGACTGGAAGTACAGAAATACCCCTACAGTCCAACCAGCTGAGCTCAAGTGCCCCTTCATCTACACAAGTGGTCACACTCCCAGTGTGCTCCTCTGAATAGATTTTAAAGTGGATGTTATTTAAAAAGTGGGTATTGTTACAATAGTTATTAGCTATTGTAGGGGCATGGTTATAAGGATGGCGATTTGTCTGTCCACTGTCCACTGTCCATATCTTAACAACTCCGGGATGGATTTGCATGAAAATTATTTCAGACCTGCTCCCCTCAGGATGATTTGGGATAACGGTCCCTTAATGTTTCACTCTAGCACTATCATCATGTCAAAATTTTACTATGTCCAGTACTAATGGCACTCCCATCAGATAAAAAACATCATTTTTTTTGCACTTATCTGCCTCACTAAAGAGCACCTGTTGGAGCCTCCTTCCTCCATTGTATTCCCATCAGCTAACTGGCAAATGGTAGAATGCTCGCAAACAAAACTAAGATGGTGAACATGGAAAATATTATATATGCTAAACTTCAGCAAGCTGTCATTTATCATTGTCACTGAGAGCATGTGAGTATGCTGATGTTAGTGTTGAGGTCAAGGCAATGGTGTATCTGAACACAGCTTCACAGAGCTGTTAACATGGCTGTAGACTCTGAGCTTGCTTCCATACAAGACATAGAGATCTTGGGATTGTATGTCTAAGCTTGGTCTTTATTTTTCTTGTAGGTTTGGTCAAGGTTGGATTTGTACTACTAAGACTTGATCTAGCACAAGCTGAATATGTCAACCATTCATGTATTACTTTTAGCATTTTATTCAACTTCCCTGCCCTCTTGCTAACTAGTTTTCACACACTCAGCAGCAGTGTACAGGGAGGCTGTCCTATGCAGTAGTAGCTGGTCGTTTACTGGTTATTGGGATGATAAATGATATACTTAACGTTTGCCTCACTCCAATTTCTAATTTCTGTTTTATTATAACAGCTATTGAAATTTCAAATCTATTTTATTTCTTCCAATTTTTTCTATTTCTGCCTCTTTCTCAAGCTTTGAGACCAGGTATATTTTACACATATGCATACATCAATGTACACATGCCTGTGCGTGTCCAAACATGATAGATTTGGTATAAATAATGTATATAAAATGTCAAATCTCCCTCTCAGTCTTCCACACACACACACACACTCAGCATGTCACAATATAATCCCCTTATAGCATACTTAAAGTGCTCACTCAATGGCTCTTATCTTGACACACTGAAATGCCAGAATTCTGCCTACCTGTGTATCAACCCTTTCAGTTTGCTTAACTAAACATTCCTGTAACACACATACAGTATATTTTTGCAGTACATATAATCTATACACTCAGAAGAGAAGGACATTTCAAAAATAAGATATTTGGACCCGTTTAACCTAAGGATTGTGGATGATTGTAAAACTGTAGCTACTGGAGAGAAACATGTGTATCAAAACTGAATATGTGTATATGAATACCAAACAGACACACACAGTTAATAGAGCGAACTACTCAATGCAAGCAGAAACATTTCCCAAGTTTCTGGACAGAAAAGAGTTCTCTTTGGCTGTTCTCCTATACCCTGATAATACCATCAGGGTAAAATACTTAGAAATATAATTAGCCAAATAGAAAAGGATTTTAAAATGATTTTTGAAGTGCCTTGGAATCTCACTTCATCTAATAATAAAGGACCTTTTTTTTTAATCCAACAGTGCAATGTTTGACATTAAAAGTGAAGAGGCATTGTAATCTCTTGTCTGTTTCCCTGCTTTTTCAACATTTTAACAAGACATTGTATTACAACACACACACAAATGACCATAAAAAAGGCACATACACATGATTAAGACTATGATTACAACTGTGGTGAATGAAATTACAAACATTTAGTAAAGCAAGAGAAATGGGGAAAGACAGGAGCTGTTTTGACACTTTTGATATTTAATTTTTTGTCATTTGACACCTCTGCAGCAGATTCCATTAAGGTGGATTCTCAAACCTGTCACAGGCACCACCAGAGACAAAGCCATCGCTACTGGTTATGGTTACCGTGGGGACCTGGCTTATAACTGCTGGATATGAGAGCCTGGGAGATTTGTTCTATCAGTGCAAAACACAGCAGGACCCTGTGGGGGCAATGATGGATGCAAAGGTCTCACTCTCCCTCTGTATCTCTCTCTGTCTCTCTGCCATCCTCGCAGCCTGCAACCTCCCCTGCTTCTCTCTCTATCTCTTTCATAGTTTTACCACTCTCTCCTCACACTAACTCTTTCACTCCTCCTCTCCTAGTGTGCCTGCACACCATCATTACTCCTTCTGCTTTGATCCATCTCTAAGGGGCTGGATTGCAGTCTAGAGCATATGCAGAGAGGAGATACAGATACATGCGGGTGTGTGTACGTGTGAGTGTGTGTGTGCATATTGAGGCGGCCTGTAAAGAGTGAGAGATCAGAGGGAGAGGTGAGAAGAAAGTAAGATTACTGCAAAGAGGAGGAGGAGGAGGAGAATGGGTGAACGAGAAGAGCCAGATGAGTGAAAAGGCAAAGTGGGAGGCGTGGAGTATGAGAGAAGATAGGGGTAATTTCACGCCATTTCCCATTTTACCCCTGACCCCCTGCACTGTACTTCAGACATCCACAAATTTCTCTCTTCACTATGATCTCAAAATTCCTTTTTTTCAATGTCACTGGCCAAAGTCAAATCCTCATCCTTCACCTCCTCTTCTCTGCATTAACCATCCCTCAATCCCTAATTCTTCTTGCCTCCTTGCTTTTTCTCTTTATCTCCCTCACACACAAATACACAGTTTTTCTCTCCCTTTCTTACTCCCTCTGTCTCTCTCTCTTAGTAGGGTCCTTGAAGACCTCTCTAAGCCGGGAGGAAGGAAAAGTACTTTTCTGCCTCATCAGCTTGCTAAGCCTGGTGTGGAGAAATCACAGCTAAAGGCTCTTCTACTACTGATGCTAACAGCTAATGCTAATGCGCCCTTTGCAGAGCATGAAGGCCAGTGGGCTCAAGCTAAAGGCTAACGATAATCATACTTTATAGCATGAAAGCCTGGGGGTTGGGAACACTGACGCTAACAGCTATTTAGTCCCGGTGTAAAGACTGATCGACTGGCAAATATTGATGCTACTGGCTAATATCTAAATTATTGCTCATTATAATCCATGTATCTCTTGTGCCTTCTAGTTGTCCCCATGTCCCACATACATGTGCACATATTCTTGTAGTTGAACCTTTGCACATTTTGCTGGATTAATTAATTACCCAACAAGGGAGACTTTTTCTCATAAATGTATGATGACAACAAAGATTTTTAACTAAACGATTTTAGAATGAAATAAATCCTTTAATGTGAATGAATACAAGAAAAAAAAATCGTCTTTTGATATTCTATCATCCTACCTTTAAAAGTATTGCAGTATATAATTATATATATGTATATATATATATATATACATATATATAAAACACCTAGCATGGCTCTGATCAAAATCGTGACAAGATTTGAAGTTACATTGAAATAGTTCCATTTAACTGTTTGTAAAACCACAACTTACTGTGTTTACATTTCAAGGTGTGTATCATGTAAACAAACAAGTGCCAGTATTAATTAGTAAAAGGTAGAGGTATTTGTGGGCAGATTGTTTAAATTTTTGGACAATTTTTCACCCTGCCTCCAGTCTTTATGCTGTATTTAAGATAATCTCATGTTGGTTTTAGCTTCATATTTAATGTAAAACTCACATGTGAGTGTGGTTTTAATCTTCCTGGAGCAAGAAAGCGTACTTTCAAAAAAAAAAAAAAATGCCACATATACCCAAAATGCTGAATGTAGAAGTGAAACTAGTTCAGAACTGAGCAATTAACAGGCTAATGAAAAACTACACTTTCAGCAATGAGAAGTCAGGCAGCTGATTGGTTGAAACAGCCTTTGGCTACTTTCTCATCAGCATCTCATCAGCTCTGGTTTCATTTCTGCCTAGTTTTGGGGATTTGAAGTATGATGATAGTGAAGTGTGATGATAGATTCCCTTTTTAACCAACTCTTGCCCAGGAACTTTCCAATCCAAATTCTATCTTTTCTCTAAATATAAATAAACCTCTTTGGGAGGGAGTTATCTGCTTGACAAAATTGTCAAAACCTGAAAGAGAACTGTGCTACAAGAAGGAAAAAACACATATATACTGAAAGTGTCTTATGTTCCTCACCAGAGCGATTATTTGGGGACGTCCTGACAGGGGAGACAGAGGGAGTTCGAGAGGAGGAGTAGGGTCTCTGTCTGTCTCTCTCTATCGTTGAGGCAGAGCCCACAAAGTGATACTGGGAGTAACCGTCCTGCAAAACAAACACAGAAAAGATTGGCTACCGTTTGCGATAACTGCACAATCACAAAATTTTATATTCCGTTAGTTAGATGTTTTTTGTGAATATTACTGATTATACATATAGTACATTAAGATGTGTACACAAGAGTCTACAGTCATTTCCCTTTGAAGAGTTTCACCAAGAAGTTATGTGAAATCTGTGTTTTTATGAGAGTTATGATATACTGTATTAAAATTAATAACTGTAGTCCTGTTACTTATATCTAATCAATCATCCCATATATATACATTTCATGAATATTTTGTATATCTATTAATGAATGATCATCCATCAATCTTCAAATTTGACAGCTTCAAAGTTGTAACCTTCAATGGACAAAAAGAAATAATAATTTCAAACAAGAGTACAAGTACAACAGAAGTAGCTCTTCAGCAATGTTTTCAACACTGATTCAATATTGATGAATCACAAAACTATATTTGTAGTGGTTTGGAGATATAGACTCCCATGCACCCATGTAACTGTAGTTACTCCTTCATAAGCATAAAAGAACTGTTTAAGAGAGTGTAGGCAGTTAAGGATTTCTCTGATACACAACTTGAAGACAGAACAACTTTGTACAAAGCCTGAAATGATGAATGAAATGGTTGGAATATAAAACACCAATTTCTAGTACATCAGTTGGATTCAAACGACTATTGTCACGACAATGTGATGTTTAGCAGATGTTTAGCAGATGTTTAGCAGATGTTGGGTTTTGGTCACCATACCTCATGACTAGAATGTCAGTATTTTATATGTCAAGATGGTGTTGGCATGAGACACCCAATGTCACAACCTACATGGTGGGTTGATTCCCGGCTCCTCCTGTCCACATTTTGATATGTCCTTCGGCAAGATACTGAACCCCAAATTGCCCCCAATCTATCATCGGTTTGTGAATGTGTGTCAATGGTAGAAAAAGCACCATATGTGTAGGAAATAGTGCTGTATTAATGTGTTTGAATGGGTGAATGTGGCTTCCATTGTAAAGCGCTTTGAGTGGTTGATAAGATGAGAAAAATCTTATATAAGTGCAGTCCATTATATTCAACTGAATATCAATGTCTAACGACACCGATGGCCAGCTGCGTGCCTGCTGGGCACTTACAAACACAGACAGCAGGGACAAACTGATTGATGGTTGATAATGCCCAATCAATACATATACAAAATATTCCTAAAATGTATATAAAAAGTGGTATCTTCACCTGATGGGAGGTTGGGATAATTGATGAAATATAAGTAAAAGCATTTCAGCTATGAGCACAGTTCTGCACTCTTTGACATGACTCACTCAAAAATGAAACATTTCTATGAGAAACTACATTTCAGTGTTGGTTTTCTTGAGTACACAAACGTGGCACATCAAAAAATGTGTTCTGAACACTCAAGGACACTGACAAACACACAACACCCACACATGCCGTACAACCATCCACACAACATAAATTAACGCACTTGCATCAAGCCTGAGCTTAGTGAATATCCCACTGTCCTTGTAGAAAAAAAATAATACAACTAACAACTCCACAAGCATAATTACTGCCAAGCCAGTGACTTTGTATCTGTATTAGTTTAGCAGTAATTGGAGCAAAGCCCTTTTCATAAAATTGGATTATGAGAGTCAACAACAATCATAGAGCCGGAACCAAATTCAATTTAGCATTAAGATAATTGGGTACCTCTGAAAGCAAAGCACATGCTGATGATTAAAGATAATGTAGACATGTTCTATCATAGCTTTGCTGTCTGGGGGCCACAGTTAAGCAGTGGGAAACTGGTTGGACTGTAGTGACTGTGAGCACATGGGAGAGGTGAGTCACTTCAGTACAGTTAGGCCTGAGTGGAGGAGAGGAGGAGATGAAGGGGAGGAGAATGAGACAACTGAGCGATGAAGGAGGCGAGGCAAAAAGAGAGGGAGGAAGAACAGACAGAGTAGAAGCTGAGAAAGACAAAAGACGACAGTAAGTAATGAGAGCAAGGAGGAGAGGGAGATGGAGAGAAATGAATGACAGGAGAGTAAAGATAGCAAGAGGAGGAGAGAGGTAACAAGAAGGAAAGGTACAGATGGAGAGGTAGAGAGACAGCCAGGGAGAGAGAAGTAGGCTGGAGTGAGCATAGTCCCATGTCCTCCCCTGACTCCTATTTCCTGGCAGAACACTGAGGACTAATAGAAAGCTGGATCCTCAGTAGTAGTTCAAAGGTAGCTCACTCCCAGTCTCTGCCATCCGTCCCTCTCTCTTTTCCACTTCATCTATTTATCCACCACTCCTTCAGTGTTCTCACTCACCTATTTTCACATTCGCTTTCTCCTTTTCCCCTCAACAAATCTCATTACAAACTACGTAACCTTCTTATGGTATGATGGACCTCTGTACAATTTGACACTCTCACACTGGCATGTTGCTCAAATGAACATAGTCACTGAATCCTGAAGGAAGAATTATTTAGAGTGATATATGCAGTGTGCTGTCTATAAATGTGGTTCACATATGCGGTCAAGGAATAATCCATTAGGGTTCTTAAGGGCTGTCTCCAAGCAAAATAAGAAAAGGTTGAATTTTACAATAATTTGAGAATGGTCATAATCAGAGAGAGAATATACTTAAGTGTATTTAAATGGCAGTCAGAACCATACATTTTCCACTTATTGTATTTCTACTTTACACCTCGGTCAGCTGAGTGTTGGACTTTTCTCACTGGTTGCTTTGTCCTTGTTTTGTTCCTCTTAAGTAGCTATAAAGGTTAGAAAAATCATTATATTCCACACTGTGTGACTGTATGATGTACTGTATATTCTGTATCAGCTTGTTCCAGCTCTTCAGTGATTTAATGATGTTTATAATGTGAAATATTCAAACCCTTGATTCTCCATAATTCAGCCTGGTATCTTTGGAAACTTTGGGACAGAAAGTTTGTTCTGTGGGTTTGAACAATCATTGGCTGCACAGCATCAGTTTGTAATGTCTGACCCATCAGCCATTCAGCAAGGTTTAATAGGTTAAATAAATATTAAATCAACATTAAAATTTCATATGGGACCAAATCAGACTTCACTTGCAGGTCTGAAGTCTCTCTTTCTCTTTTTGCACCATTTTGCACCAAGGTCCTTTTCTGCTTTTTCGGTGTCAGTGTGTACTATGAAACCTTACCTTAGTCGCAAACAATATGTCTTCACACCAACAGACATCAGCTACGTCAGCTCCATCTAGGGTATCTGGTCTTTCTGATTCTCACCTATTCTCCTCATCTTACCTTTTTTTCCAACTCTTTCTACCCACTTCCTCTTTCTCTCTCAAGCTCCCTAACTCTCCTTTCAGCCTACTGTAAAAATGAGAGAAAAAAAGAAAACTGGTTGCTAGGGAACTATTCTGCCTGTTGCTCTCACCATCACTTGATGGTTAGTTGAAGGTCATGGGACTGCAAGGTAAAAAGGATTTACTGACCCAACAAATGAGGTGTATGTATGTGTGTGTGTGTGTGTGTGTGTGTGTGTGTATGTGTATGGCATAAACTGTAAAAGGTTATACATGATGAGTGGTGGGTCCCCTCTGGGCCTCGGCAACAACTTAACATTGTCATTTTTCCATCTCTTCAATCCTTCTCTCTCTCTCCCTCATTTCACACTCACATTTTCAGTTTTACAGTTACATACTCTTCAATCACACACGATCCACCTATCCTAACAGAAAATAATGTGCCTTTTATTTGTGCATTCTTTATTTTCATCGCCTGTGATTCTGGTTATTTAGGAATTGACCTTTATTCTTGCATTTATCACAAATAGCTCGGAATACTGTAAGAGTGTGCTGCAGCTTTACCCCTCTGTCTCACTAAAATACTGTTGTTAGCCTTTGCACTGAGACAGAATATCTCAAAGCACCTCCATCTCCTCTCTTTCCGTCTCTCCCTGTGTAATAGAGGTGAGTGAACATCAGAGAGACACCAGGCGAAACATCGAGGCAGCTTCAGAGGCCTGATGTTGTTTTGATGTCTATTGAAGTTTGTCAAACGCTCATCTCCATCTCGCTGTCTTCTCTTGTTTACACTGTATGGCAGTGGAACTGGATGACGGATTATTTTTAGCCCTCTCTCAAAGAAGAGCATCTCATCATTTTAGTCTTGCAAAAAATCTAAAATTAGACTCAGACCCATACTTTACTTTACCAACTGATATGTAAACTATAAAAAACAAATAATAATAAATACATAATTGAAAGTAAAACTCATTTGGAATACTGATTGAAAGATTTACCAGTTTTGTCAGTACCAAAATGACATTTGTAGCTTAAACTTTCTTGTACTTTTATTTCAAATGTACTCATTTTATTTGCAGGAACACCCTGAGCATAGTGCAATGATCCTGTGCAATAAATGACCTCACACGTGCAAATCGGACACAAATTTCTCACTCACTCATATCACACAAACACACCCACGTACTGAATTACACATCCCTGAAACATATTGTAAATCTGTCACCCGTGTGACAAACACAGCGTCTCTCTGGCCCTGAACCCCATCTGTAATATGAGCGTGTATGTTTTTGTGATTTGTGGTGTTTGTAATGCGTGTGTGTGATATGAGTAAGACATGTGTGCATGTATTTGTGTGTGTGTGTGTGTGTGTGTGTGTGTGTGTGAGAGAGAGAGAGAGAGAGAGAGAGAGAGAGAGAGTCTGATTAAGTGCCCAAGCTAGATAATTTATCAAGAAATGAGGCACGGCAGGCCAACAGAAATTATGCACTGAACAGGCATGTGACAAAGTGTAACACTGTGAATGTACAGTATGAAATTTACTGTTTAGCTTGTGTGTGAATGTGCAAGAGAGAGAGAGAGAGTGCATATGTATGTGTGAGCAAACACAGCAAGACATAGAATTTGGTCCTTCTGGTCCTATTAAGATGAGCTTTATTGACAATGTTTATTTATATGTTACAAGTTGTTTTCCACAGAAACCCCCTGTCGAACAGTACTGCACATTTGTTGTTTAATTAAAAGATGACCTGCAACTGCCCTCCTCGGAACTGTAGATGAAGGACATATACACAAACACATGGAGTGAATGAGGATCCTGTCAAATACTCCAAATAAACATGAAAAAGTAGAGTTTTACTGCACTCTGGAGACTATTATATGTGATTTATCCTAAGTTAGTGCTAGTGTTTGTACAAACAGATTTTGGCTTTGGTTTATTAATGATGGCTGCAACACTGATCTTTCAAATCATCTCAGATGCTATTTTCATACGGAGTTACTGTTTATATATGGGCTCTCAACTGTGTGTTTTAATGCACTCAAAAAAAAACTGCTGGGCAGCACAGCCCCCCGTTCTGTTGCAATTATTTTTTCTCTTTTCTCCCTCTCTTTCAGCCTCGACTGCTCCCATGGCACTGCTGTAGGAAGTGATTAACTCTTCTTACTGCGGTTTGACAAAAACACACATTTTCAAAGATATATGCACTCACACAGAAACAAACATACACGTGTACCCACGCCCATAACTTCCACACAGCTGGAAAGTGTGTTTCAAAATGCTCTCATTACTTCAAGACTTCAAAGCAAACAACTCTTTGCTAACACAGCTCAAACTGACTCATTATTGACCCTGCACTCTATTTTCCAAAACTAGACACACACACACATAACTCAAGTATGCTTATTTCATAACTGAAGAATTCACCTCACTCTTTCCTCTGTTCACTCTTTCTTTCTCCTTTTTTGCCACTGTCTCTTTTTTTCCCCTTTGCTCTCAAACATTTTGCAGAGACACCCGACTCCTCTCTCGTCTAAATTGTATGCTAATCCATGTTTGGATTGGAGGCTAACAGGATTTTTGCTGCACCTAAAACCCATGACCTAATACGTCATGCAGGGATACTAAGAGTAAAGTCACTTATTTCAAGCTCTGGACACGGGTGATAAAGTCAAAGTGTGGATCCTCTAAAGCTATAATTTCCAGTTATAAAATTTGGTTTCTTTGTCACTTACCAGGCTGTCTTCATGCAATTTAGGAGGGAAATAGTAAGGTATGCTGTCTATCAGCCTTTAAAAGTAATTTTTAGAGTGACTGTATATAGCATAATGCAGCAGCTTCACTAACTGAACTGCTTTAAAAATCCTACATGAGTTAGAAAACTGGAAATGTTACTGCAAGACAGACTGCACATGATATCTTTTTCAGTTCAGGATGACAGATGAACTGTTTTGTTGCCTTATTGTCTTTCGGTAATTGTTTTTCTATATTGAATTAATGTTAATATCATAATGGATCAAATGAGACTGTTGTTGCGCATATTGTTTCCTTCCTTTAATATATGTCTTCATTAAATCATTGTTTGGCAAAAGAGGGTCATTTGAGGCAAAGATGGGTGGGGATAGAAAAAAAAAAAAAAATGAAGCAACCTTTGTTGTGCCTGTCGTTTAAAGCCAATGTCCTCCATGTCTGATCATTGGAGTGCTGTGCTATCTAGTTGAGTGTAATGCTATCCAGTGGCAATGATTAGAGAAGTGTGAAACAGATGAGGCTTGGGGGGCCACATGGGGATACTGTTCTGTGTAATACTGGGATATGGGGGGATGACGAATGAAGAGAGTGGCGTAGTTGTCAGGATGAGGCGAGGACACACTGATGCCACAGGGCGGCCTGTCCTGCAGTGACTGCAGCAACAGTGAGAAGTCTTGAACTTGAACAGAGAGCCTACATCAAAAAATCATCATGTAAGGAAGTCACTGAGTTAGACAGAGATTAATGCTTTTTGTTTGCTTCTCGAAACAGGTGTAAAAAGTATAATTTGGGTGAATGATTTTTTCACTATTTTCTAATAAATAAAAGATATTTTTCATATATGTTTTATTATGTCTAAGAACAACACGTCAATCTTGTTTCAGGATCTTTTGAGGTTGGACATCTTTGAAAAGTGTGGGCACTTGAAATGAAAGAATGACATCCCACAGTTTATCATCCAAGAAAAATAACAATATAAAATGATGTGATGTGAATTGTGTTGCAGTGCTCAAATAGTCTCTCTTTATGTTCTATTAACTAGATTTCTTGAAAGATTTCTCAGTAATGGCCCAAAATGTGACAGTATTGAATGATATAAATATTTCTTCTCCCCCCAAAACTCAATAAATAAGAGGGACAGCAAAGAAAATTGATCATTATAAGCATCACAAAGGTGTCATTTGTCATAGGGTTGCTGCATTGAATAGCATTAGATTATTACATGTGTGTGTACAATTGTTCACACAAACGCGCAGCTCAAATAAATTATCACCTTCATTCTTGTTTTTTTCTCTCCACAGAGAGATGAAAAAGACACATTCAAAGCCAAGGACACCTTCCTGGAATGTGTTGCTCAATATTTCTAAATATCTTACTGAAACTAAGTGATTACACCTTTTAAAGTTTTGGTGCCCTGAATGGTAGATAACCTTGGTGGCAGATATTCACTCAGCAACACTCATTACTGACAAATGAAAGGAAGAGAACATCTGTCATTACTTTTAATCAAGTCGCAAGTGTGTACAAGTTTCTATAATTTGAAAAGTAACAAAATAAAGAGAAAGGAGGAGAAAGGAGGCTTCAGCTGTGTTTGTGGTTGTGTGTTTGTGTGTGTGTGTGTGTGTGTGTGTGTGTGTGTGTGTCTGGTGAGAGAGAAAGAAAAGGATAAAAGTGTGTGTCTGTGTGAGAACAGCACACACATAATTTCTTTATAACTTATATGGTTTTCTCACTTTTTGCCAAATAGAGTGGCCAGTCTCCAAACCAGTGTCTGCTGAATAAATATGATAACTCGGAGTTTGTGTAGAAGGAGCTCTACCTTGGACATTTTAAGACAGAATTAACTTGACTTCAGTCTCTGCCAGTCAGTTCATCTTTCCTTTAAGACTTACAGTTATTTTGTAGATTACAGTGTCAACCTAAACTTTGCTTCATTAAACTTTGCTTCATTAAATAATTTTCTAATTATGAAGATGCTGTTTGAAAAGCCTAATATAATAAGTATAACAATTATTATTACTGCCAGCCAATTTTTTTTGCCAAAGCATGTTACTTTCCCACCTCCTTCACAGGTATAACTCATATTTTTTTAAACACTTTTGCAATTTTTTTCACACTACACATCAGTTACCCTATGTCAGAAACCCTTATGAGAGGAGATTTACAAAGCACTAATTAATTAATGGATAGGTGTCAATTTTCAGCAATATGCTTCTAGCAAGTCTTTGAATTGTTTTAGAACAGTGTTTTGGGTTTATGTTAAAATGATCATTACAGCATTTGATGTATAGGATAGCAGTGTTAAACACTGTTAAAATTCCACAACAAACTGAATGGCTATTAATCCATTATGTAACATAGTAGACCAGTAGCCAAACTTGACCAAACATGATACTGCTAAGTAGAAAATAAACATTTACCTTGGAGTTACTGTATGTGTATGAGAGTACACAAATGAAAGTGGTGTCTGCCAAGCAACAGGAAATATGATAGATCAAAGACAAAAATGGTGCAAGATCAATTGAAACCAACACAAGTGTGAGTACATCCTACCTTCTTGTAGAGGGAGCGCAGGTCTCTATACTGCCACATACTGCTGAGGACCTGAGAGGCTGCCTTTACCACCTTAGCTGAGTGTCTGGAGAGAGATATAGATTTTTTTTTTGGATAATATTGCTTTATTATTTTGCTCTATTTTGCATTTGTTCACAAAAATGAACAAAAACCGTCTTACAAACAGGTTTATTCTTTCCCAGTAAAAAGAACAGTGTTTGGAAAATTGCCATATGGGGTAATTCTATCAATGGGGCACTGCACATGCCCACTGAAAAACACAATGCACTGGAATGTATCATGGTTACACACAAATACAATGATCCCTAGGAAATAGCATGCCACTACATAATAACTAATAACCACTATGACACGATGAAATATTTAAATAGTGAGTCAAGTCAACAATCTTAAAGGACCCTGGTAGCTTCACTATTTGAACCCCACCAACAAAAGATTTTGATTCTTCACTGCATTCATTGCACCTGATTGCAGCAATAAATTACAGGCACCAAGGTGTAACTTTGTTGCTTTGGAAAATGCGGAAACATTTCTGGCACTGCCAAACCATGTTGTTCTTTGCATGATGGAGATGTGTTTTGGCTATACTGTTTCAAAGCTGTACATGAGAAACTAATATTCTTTTCTCATTTCATTCTATTTTTCAGGTCCTTCTGTTTAAAAAAAAAGTTGGTAAACAGTGACACTTTACGGTTGTACTGTAATGGGCCTTTTCCCAATTTAAAAGTGTGTAATTGTGTGAATGCAGCAAGGCACTGCTGCTAAGGAGCATTTATCCTCAGTGTACCTGTCCAGAGAAAATGAAGATGTGTGGGCTATTAGCAGCTAGCTACACTCACTGTGGAATTTGCACTTTTGGAGGTTTCTTCCAGCACCTCATCTCTCTCTGTAATGGTGCCCTTGAGCACAGTTTCCTAAATAGAATGAGTCTCTCTCCATAACAATAAATCAACATTTGACCTCCATCTGATAACACTCTGGTGTCATGGCAACCCTTGACCTACTGGTTGCTATAGCAGCTAGGCAGAACACCCTGTTCAGTCTCCCATGGTGACAGGAGTTATATCCCTGCTGCATCTTCCTTGTTGTTCTCCAGCTGTCTTTTGTGGATGAATGGCCACAGGGAAACAGATGTAGCTGTGAATGATGGATGTGTAGCCACATTAAGGAGCTGGTCAGTACTGACAGTTGTGAGTGCACTGAATGATAACTTAAGGTATCACACAATACAATTAGGAGACTGTTTTGCTTTTTTCCCCTGGTCTTTATATTAAATTTCACTATTTAAACTACTGCAGTTATTCAGAGCTGGTTGTCCTAGGGAGTTTTATCATTTTGTCTTCTTGCTTATTCTGAGATTATTTTGGCAACAGAACATAATTTTCTCTCTGAGGCATGTGTGAATAACTCAAAAAAAAACAAATGTGCATGTGCAGTGTAGCATTAAGTACAGTTTTTCTTTTTCATTTTTATTTTGTCTGAAACCAATGCTTATGTTGTGGGAGTTACAGTAAGTGTTCTTCACTCCTCCTGAGCAGAAAATTAGCCCTGCTTAAATCTGGAAGAATGCTAAGCATACATCATCATTTTGATCTAATAACCACTTCAGTGAGGGTAAATCTGTCCTGTATTATAAATACATGCATGTATGGCATACTTTTCCATAAACTGTTCAGATCTTGTGGATTTGTGCTGAATGAGTTTACTTTAGAGCCTAACTGATATACTATAGTTTAGAGTTGTGACACTGCAAAAGCAGCTGGGTTCTTGGCTCATAAAGTTGCTTAAATTATGGATTTTGATTACGTGTCATCCACAAAAAAGTACTATGGTACCAAAGTCATCCTACAAATTAAATGATGATGATGATGCTAATGAGGCTTTTTTTTTCACATTTTCTTTTACATGCACCTGAGACACGATCCCACAACTGCATAGTCGCTTGTGTAATTCCTTCCACTGATGTTCTCCTTGAACACAACTCTTCAACCCTACAATAAGTGTGAGGGGTTTCTAAAAATACCAGCTATGCTGTCATTTGCAGAACTGTCTCTATGATGATGCACTGCACATCTAGAGTTTTGCCATTTTCTGTAATGTTGCAGACAATCAGACTGTGGTTTCTTTCTTGTCTTTAAAGCTTCTTAAGATAAAGTGTTAACCTCAAAGTAAGTTTGGATAAATATGAATTCTGTTCAGTGCCTAAATGTTATTGTCATCAAAAAAATCTGCGATTTTACTAGTGCAGATAAAAAATAACCCAATTTTATATTATGGACTCAAAACTTACTTGTCTCCTTTGCTGCGGGCGATGCCGATGAGTTTTTCAATACCACCAGCATCGCGCAGGGCTTTGGCATTCTCCATATTCTTTGTGATGACTTCATGCAGTGCACAGCAGATTGCAGTTACCGTGTCATCTGACATGGCCTTGCTGGGAGGGCCTGTGGTTCTAGAGGTCCCAGTGCTGGTGGCATTATTGTGGCTGCTGCTACTACTGCCTGGTAACCGATGGATCAAATCTCTCATGGCATATTTACCTGGTGTGTGTGGAGAAAATGAAGGAAAGGGACAAAATTATTGGTCAGATTTTATTCTCTGCACATCCTCTATAGCCACTTTTGTTGGAAACATCTTGAAAGGCTGTTCTAAAAATTGTCCTTGGATGGATTTTTGTGAATAACAGAAGGGACAGATTTAGAGGGGACTGGACTGAGCTTATAAAGCTTATATATGAGTATATAATTTCTGATTTACAGTTAACAGAGATACTATGTATGAGGGTGAGGGTTAGTAAGTGTGGATGACTGGTACACCATAAAAATCCATACAACTACCTCAACAATATACTTAACAGATACTTAAAGGCCTATAAGTAATAAAACTAACATTGCCCTTACACTATTATTTAAAGCAAATGCTGTGTAAAGCCTAGTGAGTGGTTCAGATCACTCCATAGAGCTTTAGTTTAAGAGTGCACACTCTAAATCCTCTGATGTACACACACACACACACACACACACACACTGAAGCAGACATGCTGAGAATCCAATAAAAGGGGCGACTCATGGTATTTCGGTGAAAAGGCTGGCATATGAAGAAAATGTGAAAAAAAATGACATTCAAAAATGAGCTGTTAGAGAGATCGAAGCACTGGAGAGAGGTAGTAATTAAAAAGTGCAGGAGATGCTATCAGATAACCCACAAACCCACAAACTCAACTAGTGAGAGGATGGAGCACATGCAAAATATAGATTGTTTTAGTTCAAATGAGGGTAGTTTGTTGACTATATGGATGTTAATATTTGCATATATTTACACAAATATTTTTCTCCTTAATTTTGTAATCATTACACTTGAGGCATATGGGCTGTAATAAGAAAACAAATGGCTATTATTTCCTGCAGTGTCTGTGAGTGAACTACTCTGAAACTCTCAGTGGAGTTTCCCCATCAGAGCGAGAACACCGGATATGAAGACAACTGAGGAGAGGGGCCAATAAAGGAGAGATCAGAGCAAATAGGTGATGAGAGGAAGAATGGAGACAGGGGAGGATGCAAGGAAAGATTGTGCTGACTGAAGTGGTGTGTGCATATGCATCAAACATGAGTGATAGTGAAAGGGTGAGAAATGCCTTGACCATCATAAAACCTGTCAATTACACTTGAATCATCTTGAGCTCCTGGGACAAACCCCACAGGTCATGTTTCAAGTAAAGAACCATTCATTTGGATGCAGAGGTAGTTGTTGAATAATGGACTGTGCTTGAAACGTGGTTAATTTTTAACAAAATGCACTCGATAGAACCACTAGGACAAAGCCTCTTTACTCTGACACACACTAAAAGGCTCACTTAAATCAACTGAGCATCTCCTTGAGAATGAGTCAGTTTACCCTCTCTGTGACATGTGTTACTGGGAATGACAAAGCATGCCGTTTAAAACAGTGTATGCCAGTTTCTGTGCGTATACAACACTTAAAAGCTGCTCAGTATGTCACTGTCTCCTTTTACAGTGCAAGTCCTCCACAGAAGAGCCGGATGAGATAAAGCAGATGAAAAAACAGGATGTGCTACTGTGAGTGTTAAATCCACTGTTGGATCATCTTCAAGTGGACCATTACATCCTATCTGGCAGCACAGAAAACTGAGGCCAAAATACTCCATTTGCAATAAATGCAAAATGCTTTTGGATTTCTCTGAGAGTTTTTTCATTGGTTGTGAAATAATGTTTCTGAACAACTCAGTTTTGGAGCAATGGTACAAAACGACCAAATACTTATCTAACTGCCGCTCTGCATCAAAGTTCTAATCTTTTGCAGCCTATGCTGCTACATTGAATTTACTTAGTCTTGGTGAAAAATAAAACTAAGAACAAAAAAATCCTGGTAGGATAAAGATTTGTTCCTGCACTTGTAGAATACAGAAACAAATCTGAGCTTGAAATTTCCCCTTCCTTTCTCCCTTCTTTTTATCATTCAATCTTTTCTCACCGTATTTCAGAAATTCCCCACTTCTACATAATGCTGGATGTTTTTCCCAGACCAATCCATCACTGTGATATCAAAGGAGCCCTTACAGCCTTGTGGTAAATCCCTTGCTCACATTACCTCTAATAAATCTAGGTGATTTGGGAATAGCTGAGAACAGCAAAGCAATGCATAATGCAGGGAAATCAGATGACGCCATCAACCTTCATAAAGTAAAGGAGCATACACTCTCTCACACACACACACACACACACAAGAATTTACATGATTGGTATATATGTCCTTGTAACAAACACTTGGAATTCCCAAATGCACACATGCAGATACAAAATGATATGCACACACATGCATGCATGCATGCATGCACAGTCTCTCTCTCTCTCTCTCTCTCTCTCTCTCTCACACACACACACACACACACACACACACAAAAACACACAGGTTAAAAGGTCATTGTTTTTTGGCTGTGACGATAAAGTAACGTCCTAAGAGGAAGACTCATTATTTGACTAACTTGAATCAGACTGACTCATTTCTTGACTGATTTACTGGCTGATGACTGGCTGAATAATCTTACTTTATAAATGATATGACTAATTTCTGAGTGAGAGAATGAATTATTCACTGACTGACTGCATGACTAATTTACTGACTGGCTAATTTACTGTCTGACTGCCAGATAATTTACTGCGTGGATGACTTGACAATTTATTGATTGACTGACTGACTGATTGAGTGAGTGACTAATTTATCTACTGAGTGACTGAAGGGAATCCAGTGTTAACAAAAGGAGTGTGTGTGGAGTATACGGAAAAGATGTGGAAAACTGTTGGAGGCATATATCTCTGTGTGTGTGTGTGTGTGTGTGTGTGTGTGTGTGTGTGTGTGTGTGTGTGCGTGTGTACGTGTGTGTGTGTGTTTTCTGCTTACAGACAGATGCTCTGATAAACTGCTGTCAGCATATCCCAAAAATATGCTTGCATATGTGTTTGTGTGTGTGAGTGCACACAGGTGCGTGCATGCATATCCCTATCAGTCTCTGTGACATCATCACATTCATCCTACAGCGGGTGAGTATAGAATGGGAAAGATGATATGGAAGGAAAGAGGGAAAGATAGGTTAGAAGAGGAGTGGGGAAAAGAACACTAGTCACACATTTTTAAGAGAGAAGACAAAGTATGCGAACAGGAGGAATGACTGAAGGAAAGTCAACCTGAGGAAAGAAAAAGAAGGTTTGCCTAGTTCATATACACGTCAGCACCTTCATAACTGAAGGATTCAGACACAGAGGCCCTTGTTACTTCCAACCCTTTTAATAACACACCTTGTTAGAGGAAGACGCTGCCTCCTGATAATCACTGAGTGCTGAGAGGCATTAGTGAGAGCCTCACACACACTCCACACCTTGACAATACACACATACACTGCCATACGTGCACATCAACACACATCTCATCTGAACATACATAGTACTCATTATCCCAGTTTCTGTTTCAGTTTTTGTTTTGTTTAGTTTGTTTTTTGGGATGTTTCTTAAAGTTATTTGTTTTGAAGTATGATGTTTTTTTTTCAACTTCACAATGTCAATTACGTCTCTTGGGGTTTTTATTGTTTTTTTTTGTTATTTTTAAATTTCAGCTTACAGCATTTTATCATAGAACAAATATTATTATACAGAAAAAAATTAGTCTAGAGTAAATTAAAGCAAAGCTGTGCTCAGACAAAACTTTAGCCAAATAAAATCTGTCCTCCTTTCCATAACCACATACTATGACACAGCAGCGTATTAATGAATTATAGATTAATATAAATGAGAGTTTCTGCACTTTCCTAACACCAATGCAAAATTCAACACATTTTAAAACCTAAATCTTTTGATGTGCTCATTACCAGGATGAAGACATTATTTGTTAAATACTGGGTTTTAATTACTACTAAATATACAATTCATATCTCAGAAGTTTTAGGTATTTAATGACAAATAACTAATCTGACTGTGTTAGAATGAGTACAGCTGTGTAAAAAGTATAATTAATCCCCATACATGCAACCAGATGCCAGGAACTTCATATAACAATTATTCCTGTAATGTCACAGTGATCACAAGATGTCACACAGGAAGAATTAAGAGAGCTGAGGAATAAACTGAGATGGATTTTTTATGAGTGAGTGGTGACTCCCTCTGTTTTAAAGTCCCACTTTGACACAAACAGCACCTCTACATGGTAGAGTGCAATCTCGCCTTTCTTCTTACATCTACTTGCTCTGTCACTGAAATGTGAGCTGCACCTGGAACATGTCCTCAAGGAGAGAAACATGCCCTGTGCTGATCACAGCAAAGTCTAATAAACCTGTATTACACAGCTCCCCCAATATAGCCATCTTCACCTAGGAGGCAGAGTTGGTAATGTATTCCTGAGCTGCATTCCCTCATGTGTTGCTAACTCCCGCTGAGCAGGGCGTGCTTCATCTGGGCCATAATGGCTGATTTGATTTAAAGAGATCCAATTACCCTCGACAATGGAGTGATTTGATTGTTTACTGACGGAGAAGGGAGAGTGTTATTGAAGCAAAATTGGAGGTAATTGTCTCAGGGAGATGTGGAGAAAGATGAAATGGCTTGATTGGTTGTGGCGTCTGACTGTCTGAAAATAAAGGATGGTTAATACACAGTTATCAGTTACTGGGTTAGGGACTCTGAGGTGGGCTGCTGTACGCTTGCTGGTAACAAAAGCTTTTGGTTATATATTTCTAAAACCTTCCCAGGTCCTTTAGTATGTTCTGGGCTGAATAAAAGTCAGGCAAACAATAGGCAGCTGTGAAATCTATTTTGAGTGGTGAGAAAATAAACTGAGAATAGGATTACTGTTGTCTTAAAGGCCCATTGTGAACACTTTTAAACTTGAATTTCATTCATATATTCATGTATATAACTTAAGTGTTTTATGATCATATTTGAAAATATATTTGTGTTAAAACTTTTTGTCAATGTGTTGATTTGCAGATTCAGATTCAGTATCCAGTGACAAAACTAACGTTTCAATGTATCTG